GTGGCAGAAGGGGGAGGGGGGAGAGAAGAGGAGAGGAGAGGAGAGGAAGGAGACACCAGCTTTGCTTGGTAGCGGCTGTGCTGGGTAGCGTGTGGCCTTTTCTTCCCAGGAAAATACGTTGGGTTTAAATCAGCTCAATTTAAATACTCCAGCAGGAAAGGTGAGATGTCCAAGAGTGTGAGATGAAGCATCAGGGATGAGGGAAGGGCTGTGTAGGAAACTCGTAGCTGTGTATTTGTCTTTGAGTGCCACAGCCGCAGTGTCGTTTCCTCGGGGTGCGTGCCGCATCCGTGTGATGCTGCCGTCAGTGGCTGCAGAGCCACCAACGTTGGTGGCCTTGTCCTGCCACCTCCTCACCTGTCGCTGCTGCTGCAGAGCTGCACCGTGATCGGTGCTGGGCACTGAAGTGATCCAGGTTGAAAGTACCTTTATTTTGAGGAGCTCCAAGCTGGAACACTTTACACCTGTTCTGCTGCCCTAGCCAGCATCTTCTGACACCTCTTCATCCCTCCACACGTGGATTCGAGGTTGAACCCAACGTAAGCTTTTTTTGGGTGATGCTGAGCCAACTTTTTAGGGTGAACCGTGACACATTGCTCTCGGGTGAGGGCAGAAGGATGGTGGTGCCGTAAGAGCGGGCAGCCCGGTGTGCGGAGGGAGCTGGGGTGCCGGCGTGGGCAGCGGTGAGGAGGAAGGGCAGGTGGATGATGCCCCGGGAAGCCGTGGGGCTGGAAAGGGATGATCCTGAGAGATGGTTCTATTGCGTCAGGTGACATCCCTGGTTTGGAATAAACTTATCTCCTGGCAGTAAAGTTGTCTTTGAAAGTGAGGGGCTTTGGTGCTATCAAGCTCCCAGTTCAGAAAAAGACATTTATTCCTCGGTCCCAGCAGTTTCAGCTATTGCTGCTCTAAATGAGGGTGTGGAAGTTACTTTGTTCAGTGCAGGGCTCAGCAGCTAGTCTTGAAAAGAGAAGCAACTCTTCGGAGCGTGGACAACGTTAACTAGAAAAAAAAAAAAAGAGAGACATTAAATATCAGTACTTTGTACACTAGGAAGCTACAACCTGCAGTTTTCTGAAGTGCAATTCCAGATGGCATTTTCTGGAGGTCCCCAGCCCCCGGGGACGTTATTTGTGGCCCCAGGTTCCCGCGGCAGCAGGGTAAAAGGCAGGGAGGAGGCAGCGTGGCTGCTCTTGGCTGGCTGTGCCGGTGAAGGGCTGCGAGATCCTCTCCAGGCTGCAGCCTGAGCCGTGTGTATAGAAGAATTAGCCTGCTTTCTACCCAGAAAAGCTGGTTTTCTGTCCTTATTAATGCAAAAGGTGGAATTTTGTTCAGGAGCCCTGTGTGCCATGGTGCTTGGTGGGGTTTCAGCAGTGCCCAGCCTGGGGCGTGTGGGAGCACGCAGCGTTGGCTGTGCAAACCAAATGGGCAATTAAAACCTCACGGGCATGAGCAGCATCGCCTTGCGGAGGTCTACGCAAGCAGAGGGTGGCTGTTTTGGATCGGTGGAGGCTGTGATGGTCCTTGTGTCCAGGCTGGCTCCCTCCCTCGAGCATCTGTGACCCGGATGTTCCGTTTGGGCAGCTGCTGAGTGCTCCCCCCTGTTGGCCAAGCGAGCGGCCAAATAGGAAAGTTGCAGGATCTGTTTTTCGGTGACCTGTGGGAGAAAGCTCCTTCTGTCCAGGGGAAGGAATTAGCTCAGGAGTCATGTGCTGCTGAACAGCCATGGCCCTCGGTGCCACCTCGAGAGATGCTCTGGAGACAAAAGGATCGGTTTGGTTCAGGCATGCAGCACCTGGACCGAAGGGCCAAATCCTTATCTACTGGTGCACTACTGGTAATTAATTAGCCCTTGAAAGTCCTCAGCCATGCCACGGCCAGCAGCCTGCTTTGATGGGGGGTGGTGATGACAGTGGGACAGCAGAGCTCAGGGTATCAGGGATGTTGACGGGACACGGAGAGTAATGTGGAGCAAAGCAGAAGCTGGACACAAAGAATTAAAAGATATCCATGGGAGGGATTTCCAGGGAAAAAATGTGGTTGAGCCCTAGAACAGATCAGGATTTTGCACATACCGACACACACGTTTCACAGATCCTCAGCATTTGGATCTTGTCCTGTGTGTGACTGGTCCCGAGTGATGTATTGAGATATTTAAGGCTATTGTTTCAATGTTTTTTCTCTCGACGGTGTTTAAAGGCAGAGGCTAATCGCGAGTAATTATTTCCCCTGAGCACGTACCCTGCCCACACTTAATTAAAACCTACATTTCCATCTAGGAAACCGTCACTCAGGGCATAGCGTGGTTGCTTATTGACTCAAAGCGCAGGAGTGGGAGATGCCGCAGCATCTCTGGCCGTCGGGGACGGGAAGCTCTCTGCTGTGGAGCTCGCTCAGCCTGGCTGAGAGCGTGAACAAAGGTTGTTTCTCATATCGGTTTGGCTCTCTAGACCAAGAACTGCGGGAGGTAGGGGGAGAACGTACCCTGGGGATCTCGCAGTATCTACTTTAAATGTGGATTTCCAGTAAAAATTAATAAGTAAGTGTGGGTGGCTGAACTGCTATGAATTTTAAAAGTCGTAGCATCAAAAATCGGATGGCTTGTGCAAGAATTTGGCAGAAGAAATAAATGACCTCAAGTGCTCAGGACAAAGACATGGCCTGCGTTATCAGACTGACTGTATAATTACGTACTGCCTGTTTGTGGGAAAAACATATTGCCCCAGCTGGAGACCAGCTTTAAAAAAGTACTGGAGAGGAGATCACTGGTTAGATATGCACCCCTAAAGCTTGGAAATTTAGGTTGTTTTCAAAGCAATTCATAAGACCTTAAGCAAGAACGAGATTTCTGTGCTGCTTCTGTTGCACCGAGAGCTGCTCAGGTGGGAGGGGGCACTTTTGTTTTTAATCAAAACATTATTAAGCATTAATACTATTTTTAAGTGTCCTTTCTCCTTATTACAAATGCAATATAAATGGCAAATGTTGCACATTACTTTATTTAGTGAAATCTTGACAGGCGAACGGTGCCAGGGAAGAGCATTGCCTCTCGAGTAATTCAGTTGCGATGATGTGCCGTCCTGGATGGGAGGGAGCTGAAGGTGTTAATCTCTTGCTTTCCAGGTGATCCGTTCTGCTGCTGACTGGTCGGCCGGCATTAAATACCACGAGGAGTCCATCCACAACGCCTACGTCAGCGTGATCCAAAACAGCAAGCACTACATCTATATAGAAGTGAGTGGCGATGAGGGAAAGCAGGAGGGTCATGATGCTCTGGGCATGGCTCACAGCCATCAGAAGGGTCACTCTGCTTCTTGAGGTTTGGTCTTAGCTTTCTCTGAATTTAGAGACCCATGGATATTAATACAGCTATCTGCTCTGAATTTTTGGGGCTGTACCCATTGACTTCAGTGGTCCAGGCTGATGGGTATGTACCCTGACAGCCTTCTGACCACAAGGTGGGAAAAAGTCCACCTCTCCTTTGTGAGCCTCTTTGCAAAATTGCCAGCAGCTTCCACGGCCTGTGCAATAGCCGTCCTGTCCTCTCCGTGGCTTTGCAGTGTCCCCTGTGTGTGCCTGAACCTCCCAGTCACAGGGCTGGTCTGGCATCCGTACGGCCTCGCGCTGCAGGACTCTCCTGTCTCAGGGTAACTCTCAGCACTGGCTGAACAGAGACGCTTGTTCTCCTCTTTCTTTTTTTTTTTTTTTTTCTTTTCCTTTTTTTAGCCTCTTGTTAGGATGTTCTTTATGTGAACTTTCTGAGGAGTGCAATTAATAAGGGCTCATTCATTCCCTAAGCAAGCACAGACACACACACTTAATAACAATTAAAAAGAAAGCATCAACTCTAATGGCGCACAACCCCAGCTAGCTTTAGTTGCTTTTGGTCTGAAATAAAGCATGCAAATATTTTTTGTTCCTTGCTGGCAGTGTCTAACAGTAGCTTTGCTCGCTTTTCCTGCAGAACCAGTTTTTTATTAGCTGTGCTGATGACAAAGTTGTCTGGAACAAGATTGGCGATGCGATTGCTCAGAGGATACTTAAAGCTCACAGGTAACCTTTTCTAAACGAGGCAATGAAAGTCTTCCAGGGGCATTTATATGGTGTGGTGTAAAATAATATCTTAATGGACACAACTTTACAAGAGCTTTTCCAATGCAGAACTGATGCGGTCAAACATCTGCTTGCGTTTGCAGCAGTGAGACTCTTCAGTGGTTTCTTTCCAGCCAGAAAGGGATTTTCTGGACTTACCCTCATGCAAATGTATTTTTAACTATTGAACTTGTTTAAAAGTGACTCCTTTATACTCCGGCTCAGTGACACCTTTGCGCCATAGCCAACCGGTCTTCGACTGTGTGGTGAGGCAAGTTAATGGGCGAGAGGGTTGAACTGGGATTTGTGGCTTATTTAAATTCTCTATAGAGAAGATTGGCTTCAAACAGGGGAAGCAAACGCATTTTAAGGATTTGACTGCAGGGTTCAGCTGTTTGTTTGGACAACCTTTATGTGGTAAGCGCTAGAGAGTATTTACAACCTCCAGCCATTGCAAGGGGACCATCGTCTGTTCCTGGATGGGTCAAACCCAACCGTGTTTTTGACACTCCTTTTGCTTGAGCATGCCTAACCCTTTGTTAACGTTAATGCCACAGGTAGAGGCTTGTCTTCGCTTTGATCCTGGACAGCCTTGCTTAAGGTTGCTTTCCTGGAGTCTGTCTTTAAGATACATATGTTTCATAGTCTAAAACTGTATCCTGGTCTTGCTGGGCTGATATACAGAAAACCTTCTCAACTTCTTCCTTTCGTCTTTTGTGTGTTTCTTTGCCATGCACAGAAACATTTCTTTCTTCTTACGGTGATCATTTTCTTCTATATTGTAGTTGTCCAGAGCTATGCAGGGGCTGCTTTCCCAGGGGGGCTCTCTCCAGAGTCACAGAAATTTCTCTCTCTAAGCTTGGAAATTCCCACTTGAGTAAAGGTGACCAAGCCGAGACGGACAGACACCGGGGTACGGGCAGTATTTGCGAGGCCACAGGAACCGCCGTGAGACAGGCTTTGTTCAGAGGCGCTGTGGAAAGAGGAGCACTGTTCAAACCGGGAGAGCAGGGGTGTTATCTGCCGTGCCCTTCACGACAGGGTGGAGTCGCTTGTAATCTGTGAGCTGCAAAGCGTAGCCCAAATTATTGAAATTAGCTAAGGATGAAAGTCTGGGATGGATTTACTCACCCAGGGTAAATGAGGAGTGGTGGCAGTGCTGTGCAAGGTGTGAAGCACAGAAAAAGCAGCGTAATACGGCCTGAGTCCTATGATAGAACCACAGGTCATGGGACGGTCTGTCTGCCTGAACAGAACGACCCGCGCCGGGGCGAAGGCGCAGGCGAGCAGCTGGAAATGGTGCTACCGGTGTTTACATTGCAAACTGGAGGCTGGTGAGCAGCCAGACCAACATCTCGGTGGAGGTCGGTGTCCCCTTGAAAAGCCACTCTGGATTTCCCACCTTTGGGAACCAATTGCCGTTGGCCCGATGCTTTTAGCGATGCTACTGAGGTAGCAGCAAATTCTGCAGGTAATCTGCCAAGATTGTCCACTTATATAAAGTTTATGTAAAGGGTGTCATTCTGTCCAGATGTCAGAAAGTCTAGTACAAAAGGGAGTCACACAAATTCTTCCGTGACCTGTTTTCAGATGTGATGCTCAATTCACTCCTCTGTTATTCCAATTTTAGGCCAATATTACACCAGCCTAATGTTGGTGATTCCCAACTGAATGTAAGATTCAAATTCTGCACGCTCCAGAGTGCTTGTCGTTGCCGAAGATTAAAAGTAAATGCAGACCTAAGTGGTTTGTATCAAGTGCTCATGTTCCAAACCGACCCGGAAAAACAGCATAGGTGACACACAGATGTTTAATTGTCAATTAAGTCCTTTAGTTAAGCTTGTACACTTCTCACTCTTCTAGACTAAATATTTTCTACCGATGTAATTAATAACATTCTTTTCTTGATTTCCTCTTTTTTTCATGGGTGGCTCTTCAGCTAGTTTAATAAACACGGGGCTTAGACAAACAAGCTGCTTTTTGAGGAATGCTTTTGTTGGTAGATCTTTTTCAAGATGCAAACAGGCTTGTTACAAAGTCTGTTGTTGTGTACGGGTAAGAAGACCTCATTAGCTGTTTCCCAGGTCTGCTGTCAGACTAAAGCTAGTTTACAGTGCATTGCAAAGCTATAAAGAAGCGCTGGTTGAAATTAAACAGTTCCTCACTGTCCCCCTCCCAGCTCAGATGAGACCCCAATCCTTCGTGATTCCCGTGCCCTTAAATCCCCAGGCACCACTTGCTTGAGGAAGGAGTACTTTTAAGAAAAACTGCAGGCTGGCTCATCTTCAGGTTGCTCCAGAAATGGGTTCGTCCTGATCAAACTGTGTTTGCCATCTAGTGGCAGCAGCCTTCAATGGAGCATCCTCCTCCTCTTCCTCCTCCTCCTCCTCCGGGGCGCAGGATTGCCAACACCTGGGGGGTGCCTGGAAAGCGCTGGCGGAGCGGATGCGTCTGGCTCTTGTTAGCAAGGAAAACCCAAAGGTGGGCTTCAAGAGAAGCCCCAGGTAGTGCTGCAACAGTAGCTTTTGTTCTAAATTGGATCATGATTAGGGTACAGTTTAGTTTGGAGGAACTCTGGAACTGAGTTTTTGGGCATTGTGATGTATCGGTGAAATATGTGCTTGTGCCCTGAGCTTTTTCCACCTTTTGTGATGTTTCTGACTTCTAAAAACCGGGACGTAGTGGGAATGTCAGGTTGGATTTTGGTTTTCTGCCTGTGATAGCTCTGTAATCTTTGCTGTGGTATGTACCAGTCTGCACCAGTATCAGCGTGACTGGGCTATTGGGATGCTCAAAAGAACTTTTACAGTGGCAGACACAATATGCAAAATAATTAACCTGTCTTTGCACTTCAGTGAAAATGCGTTTCTTTTCCTTTAGCTTCTTTTGTTGTCTGTGAGAGCAAATAATTCCTTCTCCCCCTGCAGGTCTGAGCACTCGCTGAAGTACTGATCAGAGGTGATGAAGACCTGAAACTTGGAAAAACGCTTCATGCTTTGCTCCCTTAAAATTTGTGTAGCAGCCTCGGGTGGAAACCCATACAGAGCAAGTGAAACTGAGGGGAGTCGCCGTGCCTGAAGCTGTAATACTTGCAGGCTAATACTCCTCCCAAACTATCGTTTCAGGGAAAACAAGCGCTTCCGAGTGTACGTGGTGATCCCGCTGCTGCCTGGGTTTGAAGGAGACATTTCGACCGGAGGGGGAAACGCGCTGCAGGCCATCATGCACTTCAACTACAGGTACGGTGGGCAGCCCCGCTGCCGGAGACCTTCCCAGCCCCCTCCGCCTGCTGCGGATGGTGCCCAGGTGTTACGGTTTGAGAAATCCATAACAATTTATTGTCGTTTAGACAACCATTCTATCACCCGATGGTCCCTCCCCACCCGGGAAAGGGAATCGGGAAAAACAAGGAAACCCGGGAGTTGAAGTGTAAACAGATTTAATAGGGGTGTAAACAGATTTAATAGGGTAAGATTAGATAATTAACATTAGTAGCACTAAAGAACCAATATTGATCCCAATACCAATACAGAACACGCAAAGATTATACTCAGCCCATTCTATCAGTGGGAAGCTGTGCAATCCCAGCAGGGGACAGCAAATGTGGGACACTGCCAGCGCTGCAGCTTCGGGAGGAAGGGAAGGGCTCAGGGGTCCGGCACAGTGGCACGAAGTTCAAGTGCTCAGGTCTCACTCCTCCTCATCCCCGCACCTGGCGAGCTCGAAAACACTGAGAACTTGAAACCCACACACCATAGCTGGCTATAAAGTAATTATTTTCACAAATTCAGACACTGGAGTCTTCTAAAAGTACAGTTTTCCCAAGTATCAGAAGAGAATTCAGTCCTGTGTCGCTCAAACCAGGACACCAGGGCTCCGGCTACCATCAGCATGGGGTCACGCTGGATGTTGTCCACACAAGCACACGGTGTTTGGGAAAGGAGAACAAAACTGTTTGTGTGGTCATCACTTAGTACTTTAGCTTGTTTATTCACGGCAAAAAAAAAAAAAAGAGGAAGGCAAAATGGCTCAAGCCGAGGTGGCTTTACTGGAAAACTGCTGTGTTGTGGTAGTATGGCCAGGGCGCAGTCGGTCTGTGGAGACTACTACTACCTCCAGGGTGACATCTCCTTTGTCTGCAAGGGTCCTACTGCACCTACAGAAGAATGAGTGGGGCAGGAGGAAGCAGCATGTCTCCCAAACCCGGCCCTTCTGCCTGACCTTCCTTCCTTCAGCAAGGGCAACCATAGGTCTTTAGAAATTGCCCATGGGTTGTTTGGTTTTTGGTTGTTTTTTTTTTTCAATGAGATGCCAGCTGTGGCTTTTCCAGCCCAACCGTAATCACGCAGACTCCCTGACCTGGTGTTCTGCGTGTGTTGACTTTCTTTCTTGGTGTCACTTCACATCCAGACCTGTGGCACAGACGGCAGCGGCCCCGTTTGCAACGCATTTATCAGTATTGCAGTGTGCTCAAGAAGGCCAAAATGCTCCCCAGCTCCTACGCGGATCGGTACGAGCTCCTTTAGGAAATGAGCAGTCCTTGCTATATCAACAGTCATTTGGGAAAAATGTGTGCTCTGGAAGCACTGTGGTTTTTTTCTGCTTGCACGGGGTATTTAAGAGGCATCTGTGTTTGCGATTTACCTCGCCGGGTTCTGCTTCAGCATATGCCATTGCCTCGAGTGGCGGTGGTGCTGACGGCTGCCTACCTTCTTTCCAGGACCATGTGCCGAGGAGAAAACTCGATCCTGGCCCAGCTGAAGGCAGAGGGTAAGAGCTTTATTCCTCTCCTCTATGCTGTAGTCTTGGGATGGTGCTCTTGGGTGGATACGTAGCACACAAATTGGATTCTTCGGCTTCTTATTAATGTTGGTTTGCTGTGGCTGAGGGGTTCGGGCGCGGACGTGGGCATCTCACGTGTGCTACGGGCTCGTGGGGCTGGTGAGCATCCTCCTCCTCTGCTGTCATCCCGTGGCGAGGTCTGTCGGGTCACGCGAGCCATGGCCGGTTGTCAGACTTGGCGCTTGGATGCAGCCCCAGCAGGGAGGAGGGGAGGACCCCGGGGAGGAGCACGGCACGGCCGCAGCTGCTGAGGATCGTGTTATTTGGAAAAATATCCTGAGCGGGGTCACGCTTCTGGGAGCGATGAGCCCTCTGCCTCCCCCGTGAATCCCACCCTGGGGTTGCTCCTGGTGGTCATCGAACATGGAGAGGAAAAACCTGCCTAAGCAGGATGCTGTTTCCGAGCCGCTGCCTCGCCAGGAGGGTGCCTGCTTGAATTTGCTCTGCTGGGAATCGGAGCACCGTGAAAACCCGCATATCCCAAATCTTAGGGGCGTACATAATGCCTGATTCGTTCTAGGTCTGTGTGTAAATCTGAACTGCAGACAAGTACATTAAGGACATATTTTCTGTACTGTGCGTGGACAGAACACCTGCTTCCAGCCTCCTTTCTGCAGGATCTGCAGAACAGTTGCATAGTCCAGATATTTTAAGATGTTCGGATCAACTGTGAGCACTTGCGTGCTGCGCAAGGGAGATTGGGGTCATTTCTCACCAAAGTGGAAGCATCCGAGCAGGCAGCGGATCAGAGCAGCACAGAGAGCCCACAGGCAGCTTTTAAAGTCTATTTTTAAGGAAACTTAATTCCATTATCTGTTTATTTTTTTTTAAAGTCAAAATTGAGCTGTTACTCATATGTATCTTTATATAAAGAGGGTCTTTTCTCTTTCTTCTCTCTTCCCCCTCCCTCATCCCCTCGTATTTGTTCTCTTTTAATTTTCAGTTGGAGATAAGTGGATAAACTACATATCATTCTGTGGACTTCGAACGTACGCAGAGTTGGAAGGGAAACTAGTCACAGAGCTCATCTATGTTCACAGCAAACTGCTTATTGTTGATGACAACACAGTTATAATCGGTGAGGAGGGGGCTGGCGGGAGGGCTTTGGACCACTCGATTATACCTGGATTAATGCCATCGCTTCTCTGCCCTGTTCTCAGCGCAGGCTGCGGTGCTGTTTGCTTTTCTATGTTGTGATTTCTTCCTCGTGAAAAGTCACAGAGCTCATCTATGTTCACAGCAAACTGCTTATTGTTGATGACAACACAGTTATAATCGGTGAGGAGGGGGCTGGCGGGAGGGCTTTGGACCACTCGATTATACCTGGATTAATGCCATCGCTTCTCTGCCCTGTTCTCAGCGCAGGCTGCGGTGCTGTTTGCTTTTCTATGTTGTGATTTCTTCCTCGTGAAATATTTTGCTGTTTGAAAAAAAAAAAACCAAAAAAAAACAAAACCCAACAAATCCTAAATTTCGCAGGAGGGGAA